TTGGGGGTGGTGTAGGCGGAGGACGAGGCGTGCGGGGGGGCTCTGCCCTACTACCCCCTCTCCAAAGACGCCTCACCGGGTACGCCGGGGTGGCTGGGGGAAGCGGCCGCCCGCGAGTGCGTCCCTGCCACCGTGGGTTGTGTGCTGGGGACGCGCTGGGGACAGGGTGGGGAGCAGCAGCTGCGGAGGGCTGCGCCCCCGGCCCATTTCTTCTTCCAGATGAACCCGTGGATCAGCACAACCGGCAGAAGATGCTGGAGGTGATGGTGTCGCCCACCATAACCTGTAAGCCTGGGAGGGGCCGTTTGGGGCTGGGGGGGTGCTGGGCTCCCCAGGGGGCCCCGCAGCAGGTCCCCAGGGCTGCCGCTCCCCCTGAGGGCTTGTCCCGGCTCTGTGCAGCGGAGGCCTACGTGGGCAGCGTGCTCTTCTGCCTGGGCATCTTCCTCTCCTTCTACGTCCTCACGCTGTTCATCGCCTGCTGGGAGAGCTGCCGGTGAGTTCCCGGGTGTCGCTGCCCCGGCCACCTTGTCCCCTCCGGGCGCTGAGCCCCGGTGCACGGTCCCAGCACGGTGGGGGCCCTCGGGCGTGCTGTGCCCCCTCGCCCCTGGCTGCCGGCACGGCGCTGCTCACGGCTGCTTCCCTCGGCAGGCAGCAGAAGAGGAAGGGGCTCCTGGCAGCCATGGACTCGCCCAGCCTGGACACGGGTGAGGGGCTGGAGGCAGCAGCCGGTGGCAGTGGCACGTGGCGGGTCTGCCTGGGAGATTCCTCTCGAGGAATCTTTGCCCTCTTGAGCCTGTGGCAAATCCCTCGGTTCTGCAACAGTTCTCCACTGTCCCCCTGAGCCCCGCTTGTCCCCCAGCTCCCTGGGGACAAATCCCGATGTCAGGGGGACAGGGACGTCCTGGGGCTCGGGCTTCACCGCTCCGGGGCTGGCAGGGCTGCGCTGGGGCTTAGGCATCTCACCAAGTCTGTCTCTTTCTTTCCACGGCTTTCCGGGGACTCCCAGCATCTCTACTGGGTAGGTGCCGGCGTCTGCTCTGTCCTTGGCTGCGAGCTCGCTCCCGTGCCAGGGCAGGGGCACGGGGCGCTGCTCTCTGCCAAACGGCCGTGTGGCCCCGGGCCGGGGGTGCCACGGGAGGCTGCCGGCAGCTGATGGGGACCCTCTCGTCTTGCAGGGCACGCCCGCAGCATCCCCGACTCCTTCCTGGGCCGTGCCCCCTATGACAGCTACGGTTACGGCTCCTTCGGTGAGTGCCACGTGCCGTCCCTCGCCTCCCTGCCTGTCGGCGGGCGGCC